TTGATAGAGATGAAAAATAAAAAACACCTGCATTTGTAACATAGTTGTTGGTTTTCTTTTAAATGATTAGTAACAAGCGGTTTTTGCTAAGTGGCTTATTTTGAATCATCTGCATTCTGTGTACATCCAAATATCAAATGGGCTATTTGAAATTAGGTTTTATATAAACAGCCATTTTTCTTTGTATGAGTTTGCAAAATCTTAGTAGGATTTCTTTCTCCTTACTGTTTATTTTTGACTTTCAGGGTACAGCTTACTACATGCATTCATCACATCATCAAACATGATTATCCAAGCCGCTGGACTGCCATTGTGGACAAGATTGGCTTTTATCTTCAGTCTGATAATAGTGCTTGTTGGCTAGGAATTCTTCTTTGCCTTTATCAGCTTGTGAAAAATTATGAGTAAGTGTCTCTCAATTCCTGTAGAGTTTTGAGAAGTAGGAAAATTTAAGCCATTTTGAACGTGTAAAATTACATTTGGCATAGATACTAAAATTATTGAATTGTGTTAATTTTAACTTAGTATTTTCTTTTTGAAGTAGTGTTTTTATTGTAATTGTGTAGTTTGTTCTGTTGATGCCACTAAGAAACTCCTGTCCCTGTTTTTCTTAATCGTTGTCTTTTTATCTGTGAAGTTGGGCTCCTCAATAGGTGCTGATAAAAGGCCTTCAGATAAGGAGTTTTTTTTTAATGTGAAGGTGATCAGAGTACATTGAGCATCAGAGCTCTTTATTCTGGCTTTCTTTCTGGATTTTTATCTTAATCTGGGTTCTTGATAAACTTGTAGAACCTACCTCTAATTCTTTAAGAATATGTTGAAATTTCATGTGATCAGTGTGTTTTGGGGAATTTACAATGCCTATTTCATTGTTTGCATATTTGAGCAAATTATGTTTTTCATATAGGTAATTAGGGTCAGTAGGAAAGATTTTAGGCCAAGGGATCATTTTAGATCTGGATTTAGGGATCAGGAAAAAAAAATCTAACCTGGAAAGTTGAAGTATGGCATTAGGAGTGGTAACCCAAATGCTGAAGGGATTTTCTCTTAAGTGTGTGGTGAAAGTAATGAAATTGATAGGCACTTGAAAGTTTTGATGTGGAAAAATTATGAGAAAGGCATAAGGAAAACTTTTATACCATGTTGGTGACTTTATTTCCAGTCCTAACAGCTACACAGATGCCATTGTGAGCCCTCTAGTTCTGGGACTTGTAGTTAGCCTCCAATACCCTCTTTGGGTCCCATCTCAAAGTAGCTGATGAACTACTGCTTTTGTTCTGAGCAGGAGAGAAATACACCATTTACAGCATTAGTACTGGTGTTTTCTTGTGTTCCCACCAGCTACCCATCTTTCTGCTAAGGAATGTTCCAGCTGTTGCTCCAACCTCTGTCAGAGTGCCAGTTGTTGTAGTTCTGGTAAGTGAGTGACTGAAATTAGAGAGAATGAAAACAGTAAGTTGTCAATGTCATTGAGGAAGTTCTAATCTCTCCTGTCCTATAATCTTAGCAGGAGAGAATGTGACAGGGATTTTTAAATGGGAGATATAGGAGGCTGCTACAATATTTGAATTTCAGTTCATTTTCAGCTAGTGTTTGATTGTGGAGCACAAGGTATTCACAAGGGATCTGTGTGGACTGAAATAGTTCTAAGAAAATTTATGGAGAAATTAGAATTTGTGGTGGTCTTCAGGAGCATGGATCCTCAGGCAATGCTTGTCAGTTAAAGGAGCACAGAAGGAGCATTTGAAGAGGAAGGTGTGTCACATCATATGGAGTAGTATGAACAAAGAAAGGTACAGAGGTGGAAATGCGAGACACTGTCTTTAGTGGATAGTGAGGAGATCACTTAATGATATTGATAATTGCTGGTGAGAGGTTAGGGATAATGGGACTGGTAAATTGGGACCATGTTAAAGAAGGTTTTGAATGCCACAATGAGAAATTTGAATGTGATCTTTTAGATACTGAGGAACCACTGAAGATTTTTTTTTAAACAAAAAAGCGAGACTAGTATTTAAGGATTTTCTGAGTATGGTTCACCAGTTTGACACATCACAGCCCCCTGGTAGCAGACTTTTATTAGTGTCACATTTTCATACTTTCGGAGACTTTTAAGTCTTAGGGAATGGTAATATGTTTGGTAGTATAAATTACTTTCATATTCATTAGCTTAGATTAACAGCTAGCACCACTCAACTCCCAGTCCACTATTCAGTGTAGTGAGGGAGGTAGGAGAGAAGAATGTCTAACATGGAATGGGTGGGTAGTCACACTCTTTTGGTGAGCGTGATCACCTGAGATGTGTAAATGGAAAGAGCTGCATAATATAGTTCTCACTTTTAGTGTTAAAAGGGAATTTTATCTGTAATTATTATATAAAGTTTGTGTAATCAGATTGCAGAGTGCAATTTGCTTTCTTTTATAAATTGTTACTATTTTATTGACTCAAAGAAAGGTACAGATAAACTTTTAGATGTATGTTAGGTATAATTTCTTAGCACATGAAAGTAATACTTAAAATAATCTGCTAGTTAATTGTGTTAATAGCCTTAACAATCATTAGTGTGAACATTTCTCTTGGTGTTTTTTATTCTTGGCAATTTGGTTCTCATTTCACCCAGCAGGAAAAAAACATCCAGCTTTTGAAGAGAGTCTACCTTTATCTTTTTAAAATGTACTCAGATACTCAATTCTTAAGTATATTTTCTCCCTTAAAGAAGGAGGGTACCAATAAATAAAACTGAGATCTGCTGTGGAAAACCAATTTAAAGCAGTTTAGATAATCATCTGTTGCAAAAAGATAAGCTGTGGCTTTTAGAATAATGATTTCTATAACATGTAGTTTGTATTTGCAAATCCACAAAATTTGCCTATTGACTCCTTAATAATGGAAGCTAGAGTTACTTTTCCATAGTTGTAACCTATAAATTCGATTATTGTTATTTTTTAACAAACCAACAGATCTTTTAACAGTATTGTTAAAATGTTAACAGTATATGAAAAAATATCTCAGTTAGGTCAGCAATTCTTTATCCATAATCTCTATGCAAAATGGAATTCAGAACTCAGATTTGTTTTGGATTTTAGAAGGGTAGTAAGGTTCACATAATACATGTTATGTAACACTACTATTGACATCTGTAGCAAGCACCTAGTAGCTGAACACATTGTTATATCTGCTATAAAATATGTGAATATTGACCCCAAATGGGGTAAATGAAGATCATAAATAGCCTGTTGAGGTCATGTTTTGTTGCCAAATGGGTTATAGAACTTCTGGATTATGATGCTTTTAGAAATAAAATATTTTCTGCTTTGTACATGCCATTTCTGCCTCAATGCTGTTGGTATGTAAATTACTTAAGGATAGTAGTATATAATCAATTTATTTATTCATCAACTGCTACTATTTAAAAGCCTGGTTATTGTGCCGCCTCATTTGTATCAGTATTCATTGCATAGTGGTTAAGAGGGCAGACTCTGGATTTTAGCTGCTTAGGTTCATGCTTAGATGTGTAATACTGGGAAAGATAGTTAATTTCTGTGCCTCAGTTTCCTCAACTGTAAAATTGAGGATACTAATGGGGGCCTTGAAGATTATTGACCTCATAATAAATGTTCAAAAACTATTAGATATTGAGGTTTTATTCAATTTGCTTTTTTGCGTGGTTTTCTTCCAGAGTAGGTTTTCCTTTTTTCAAACTGGTTAGGAAGTATTTGATTATATTTGTGGAAATAAACAGGTAGTTTAAATATATAAAATTGTGGAAATAAATTCTTACAGAATTAGTTTGTTATTCCCACCCAAAGGTATAAGAAACCAGAGGAGCGGAGTCCATTGGTAGCAGCAATGCAGCATTTTCTGCCAGTTCTAAAGGATCGTTTTATCCAGCTTCTTTCTGATCAGTCTGATCAATCTGTCCTTATCCAGAAACAAATATTCAAGATCTTCTATGCTCTTGTTCAGGTAAATTTTATAAAGCAGATTTTATGTATAAAATGTTAGTCTGTCATTTACCACATTAAAAATTAACAAAGAATTTCAGCATCTGAATTAATTACATTTGAAAAGCTAGATTAAGTGGATGATTTGATAGAAATTGCCAAAATTATAAGTCTAAACAAGCATACTTCCCCAAATACATAAAAAACTCTAATAAATCTTAAATTGTAAAGGGGCAATGTCCAGTTCTCTTAAACCATCCAGCACAACAAAATTAGTAATTTTTTTTTTATATCTCTTACCTTAATTTATGAGTCTGAAAACCAGTTACTCGATTACAGTTGAAATCTAACACATACTCTGATATGCAAAACATACATAGATTGTCCTAATAAATATAAAACCTACTCTATACTTGACATAAAAGTACTAACTCTGTGGACTTGACTGGCACACAGTAATGGATTTCATCATTTCTGTATACTGTTCTAAATTATTCTGGGATAAAAGATACCCACTAAGGAAATGGTTGGGTCTGTATTCTCAGTGTAATATAATTACTTATAGAACAGATTTTTTGGTTAGGATTTAAATTCTGGTTCTTTTTGTACCATGTCGCCATAGAAGGATTTGTCTCATTTACTAACATCTTGATTCAAGTCACACTGTTACTTCTGAAAACCTCATTTAAATAGATCTGCATCTTTACTTCTGTAAGATTGTAGCTGACTTACTCCATTGCTTGGTTGAATTTTGCATGTCTTTGCTAGATCTTTAAAGATATCTCCCAATCTGATTCTAAGGATACTTTAATGCTATTCTATTGGATCCTTATATAATTCTTTGTTAAGTAATTTCAATATGCAGTATCTATAGTCTTTTCATATTTTTTCTAATTGGTAGGATCGTAACTTTTAGATTAAAATAATTCTTTTTGAAAATTACCCTAGGGCACAGGACAACATGAGTATTTATCTTCTCAACTCATTCTTTGAGACTAGCATATCCTGCTATCAAAATATTACCCTGTCTCACTTGCGAAAATAGATGTCCTAAAATCCTAAATTGATTTTTTTTTCTTTTTAGGAGTCAGCAAACTTGTTTTAATATACACAAATATAGTCACATTCCAGTGTAACAAATATCCCTTCTTCTTCTTGAACCACAAGAGAACTTTACCTGGAGACTCTCTCTATAGAGAGTCCAGCCTTGGCAGTCTTCACAGATGACCCCCAACAGGGGGCACTGTTAGGATATTGATTTTACTATCCTACTGAAAGGTAGGATTTATCCCAGGAATGTAAGAAGGGGTCAACAGTAAGAAATTTTGGCTGGGCATTGTGGCTCACACCTGTAATCCCAGCACTTTGGAAGGCCGAGAGGGGAGGATTGCTTGAGCCCAGGAGTTTAAGACCAGCCTGGGCAACATGGTGAGACCCCTGTCTCTACAAGAAAAAGTTAAGTGGACGTGGTGGCATAGCCATGTAGTCCTAGCTGCTAGAGTGGCTGAGGTGGGAAGATCACTTGAGCCTAGAAGTTTGAGGCTACCCTGAGCTATGATGATGCCACTGTACTCTAGCCTGGTGACAGAGCGGTACTCTATCTCAAAAAAAAAAAAAAAAGAAGGAAAGAAAGAAAATTGAGCTGGGTGTGCTGGTATATGCCTATAGTCCCAGCTACTCTGGAGCTGAGATGGGGGGATCCTTGAGCCTAGGAGTTTGAATCTAGCTTGGACAACATAGGGAGACAACATCTAAAAAAAAAAAAAAATTAGTTTTTGTGATTAATGCTTATATCACATTAAAAGAGACCTGTAACCATCTTTATGATGTCCAATAAAGCATTTGATAAAATTAATAACCATTTCTGCTTTAAGAAAAGAAAACAGGCTGGGCATGGTGGCTTATGCCTGTAATCCTAGTACTCTGGGAGGCCAAGGCGGGCGGATTGCTTGAGCTCAGTAGTTCGAGACCAGCCTGAGCAAGAGTGAGACCCCATCAGTACTAAAAAACAAAATAGAAAAACTAGCCAGGCATGGTGGCACACTCCTGTAGTCCCAACTACTTGGGAGGCTGAGGCAGGAGGATGGCTTGAGCCCAGGAATTTAAGGTTGCAGTGAGCTACAATGACACCACTGTACTCTACCCAGGGCAACAGAGTGAGACTCTGTCTCGCGAATAATAATAATAATGATGATAATAATAGTTAATAAATACATACATACAAACAGCTGTTAGAAACCTAGAATACAAATTTGCTTAACTTGATAAAAGGTGTTCACTAGAAATCCATGGTAAATATCATACCTTATGGTGAAAATAAGATATAATCCCAATAATGGGAATACAACAAGGATGCCCATGGTTACTTCCAGTGTTTACCATTGTAGATAACTAACCAAAGAAATTTATTTGTGTGCTAAAAGCAGGAAATGTGGATTGCATAAAATACTTTTGGTATTGTGAAGAGTAAAAAGTAAATGGGATTTTCTTTAGTAAGGATTTAAAAATATTAATTCTTGATTTTTACTTAGTATACACTACCACTGGAGCTGATAAACCAACAGAACCTGACAGAATGGATAGAAATTTTAAAGACTGTTGTGAACAGGGATGTACCTAATGTAAGTTTCTGTGTGCTTTCTTAATATTATTAAATATAAATATTTAGTGATCTTTTGAGTATTTCACTGGTATTTCCTGTAACATTCTTGATAAACTTTTAAGATTTGTGATGTATTTTTTCTAGGTATAGAGACACTTTTCTATTTGTTTACATAAGTGCATACATCAAGTAAAAAATTGTGAAGGGTTATTTCATTTATTATTGGTCAAGTGCTTGTGTGTATCTCTTTATTTCGTCCCAATTCTTCTGTGTCTTTTCATTTCTTAACCAAATTAGGAGCACATAACTAGATTTTAGCTTAATAATTTATGCCCATGAACAGAGGAAGAATTTGATTTAAAGGTGGCCAAACTTGTAGTTATGTAATTTTTTTAAAATAACTTTATTGAGATAAAACTTACGTGCCATAACATTTACCCTTTCAAGCATACAACTCAGTGGTCTTTAGTACAGAGTGGTCCAACTGTGTTGTTTATTACATTTAATCACAATTTTAAATTACCGTATTTTTCTTTAAAATCTAGTTTTCTAGAGAGAGGAATTTACAAGTTCTTAATATCTAGTGTGTTTTAAGTGCTATTATATACCTTATTTAATCCTCAAAAAAAAATCCTTCTGAATTTTATTTTAAACTTAGATATTGGAGAGTTATATAATTTATCCAATGTGATATTATTAGTGGCAAAGGCGAGACCAATTTCTTGTGTTGTAGTTTATTGTTTACTTTTTTTAGATTTTTTTCAAAAAAATTTAAAACAATGCAGAAAAAATAAATAGAACATTTCTCCTACTTGACGGGAAACTAGTTTGGCATGTATTTTTCTGTACACATTTAGTAGGTATAAAATATAACTTTTAAAGTTCTCATACATACTCTGTACCTTTTTGTGTTATAGTTTATACTCAGTAACATGCACAAGTTACAAGTAAACAGTTCAATGAGTTATTAAATTATGTGAATGTTTACTCAAGGCTGGTTCTAGTCATCTCTGCCATCATTGTTCTCATTTCTTGCACAGTAGATTTTGCCTGTTGTAGAATTTAATAAGTAATCTTTTGTTTCTGGCTTCTTTCACTTACTGTATTTGTGAGATACATTCATGTTATGTAGTGATAGTTTATTCCTTTTTATTGCTGAGTGATATCTCATTGTATGAATATACCACAGTTTCTGTATACCGTCATACATTGATGGATATCTGGGTGGTTTTCACTTTTTGAGTATTATAGATAAAGCTATGAACATTGTTCTGTGTCTTTTTGTGATCATGTGTTTTCACACTCTTGCATAAATACCAAAGAATGGAATTGGCTCATAGAGTAGGTGTATGTTTAACTTTGTAAGTAACTTCCAAAGTGATTGCCAAAGTGATTGTAGCATTGCTCTCACTGGCAATGGATGAGAGTTTTCAGTTGCTCTGTATTTTCACTTCCTTATCCTAACTTAAAAATATGTCATGGATGTCTTAGGTCAGTGTATGGTGAACCACTTCCTTCTTTTAATGGTTGTATAGTAGTCTTGTATGGACATTGCATAGTTAAACATTTCCTCATTAATGAATGTTTAGGTCCCTGGCAATTTTTCACTATTACAAATAGTATTGAAATGAATATTCTCATACATATATCCTTGTGCATTTATACTGATATACCTGGAATTAGATTTCTGAAATGGGGTTTCTCATGCCCTTTCCATTATGAACTATACTGATTTTGATTAAGCTATAATTATGGCCTTGACTTTATATTCTTTAGATCTTGACTAAAATGTTTGGTTTTAAGTTTTTATAAAAATTTTAAAAAGCATATCTTTTGCAATCAAGTAGTGAAGCAGTGAGGACGCCTCTTAGATTTAAATAAGGGTTAATATTTTTCCACATGTAACCTTTTATCCAAGGTTAGAAAGGCCAACATTGAAGGAGCATTCACATTTCTGTGAATCTGTTCTTAACCTCATACTGTTCCACCTACATTGTATCATCTTGTGCTATCATTAAATAAATGTCTCTTTAAAGGAAACACTTCAAGTTGAAGAAGATGATAGACCTGAGTTACCATGGTGGAAATGTAAGAAGTGGGCTTTACATATTTTAGCAAGGCTTTTTGAAAGGTAATCTCCTATCTATATATGATGATTTAAATTTATTTTTTAAGCTTTTGCTTTTATAAATGTTGGTATAAAGTATTATAAAGAAACAATGGACATTTTAATGTATTTTAGATATGGAAGCCCTGGCAATGTTTCTAAAGAGTATAATGAATTTGCTGAAGTATTCCTGAAGGCATTTGCTGTTGGTGTCCAGCAAGTAAGTGTAAGATAGTTTTTCTAAGTAGAAACATAACATCTTTAAGTTAATTTCTGTCTTCTCAAGAGTGTTTGTTTGAACTCTGTAGCAGTTCTTATTTTTTTTGGTCTTAAGTTATTGAGGACATCAGTGGGCTTTCATTTATGTGGGTTATACCTAGTGACACTTGACATGTTAGAAATTAAAACAAAATTTAAGTTATTTCATTTAAAAGTAATAAATCCATTATAACATTTTTTCTAATGTCTGCCTTAATAAAGACAGCTGGATACTCATTTTTCTGCATTCAGTCTGTTTTGTTTTGGTTGACATAAAGAAAATTTGGCCTCACAGGGATGAAGTTAGAACAGGGATGAGTATTTTATTAGACTTTTCAGATAATTATGTAAATTCTTTGATATTACACTGAAATTGGACAATGGTAATTTCTTTAAAGTTAATTGCAATGTGGAATTTGAAACCATACAAACAAACATTTTGCATTGTTACATTAAAAGTCATTGGTCTGTACTGCACTTTGAATGAAACTTTTATTCATACATGATTTTGAAACATCCTGCATTGATCATTTTGAAAATGTTGACTCATTGAGTTAATGCAGATTTTCCAAATGTTTATACATTTCATTATGCAATTTAAAAAGACCAGCAGAGGTGGCTGACACCTGTAATCCCAGCACTTTAGGAGGACAAGACAGGAGGATCACTTGAGACCAAGAGTTCAACAGCCTGGGCAACATAGCAAGACCCCATCTCTACAAAAACTTTAAAAATTAGCCAGGCGTGGTGGTGTGTGCCTGTAGTCCCAGCTACTGTGGAGGCTGAGGCTTCAGCCCAGGAAGCTGCAAAGAGCTATTATGCCACTGCCCCCTAGCCTGGGTAACAGAGCAAGACCTTCTCTTAAAGAAGAAGAAAAAAAAGAAAATCACATTTGTTAAGGTCACCACCAGTCTCATCAGAAATATATTTAAATATTGGAAAGCTTTCAGGCTAATCATGGTGATCTAAACATTCCAGAATTCTAATTTTTGCTTGAAAACTCAAATTTTAACACCAATAACATACTGTCAGCTATTTCTTTGACGTGACAGGCCCATTTAATTCATTTTTGAGAAAAAAATCTATCACATGCATAAGTCTAAATAACCATTATTTGTCTATCAGTTGTTCTTTCATGGAATAAGTTACAATTTCAGCTTACAACTCAGTCTCACAAGTGCTTTTCTTCCAACCATTGTCCTTTGGTATGTAGCTGAGGGCTATGTATATACGTCTCAATTCAATCATATTTTTTTTAGGTTCATTAAGGACATTCTTATTTTTTTTTTTTGAGACAAAGTCTCACTCTGTTGCCTGGGCTAGAGTGCCGTGGCTTCAGCCTAGCTCACAGCAACCTCAAACTCCTGGGCTCAAGCGATCCTACTGCCTCAGCCTCCCGAGTAGCGGGGACTACAGGCATGTGCCACCATGCCCAGCTAATTTTTTCTATATATATATGTATATATTTAGTTGTCCAGATAATTTCTATTTTTAGTAGAGACGGGGGTCTCGCTCTTGCTCAGGCTGGTCTCGAACTCCTGACCTTGAGCGATCCGCCTGCCTTGGCCTCCCAGAGTGCTAGGATTACAGGCGTGAGCCACCGCGCCCGACCCATTAAGGACATCCTTAAGGAAAACTTGTTCTATAATTATGTGGCTGTAAAGAATACAGTGACTTTAGTTTCATACCCCTTGATTCACATTAGGCACCAGAAGTTTTACCACCATTGCTTTCATACCGTTGATGCAAATGTCAACGCAGTAAAAAAACAAAAAAGGCAAATAACATCTTAGCATTATTATAAAAATAGCTTTAACCTAGTAGACCCCCTGAAAGAGTCTTGGGCACCACCAGAGATATATAGACTACACTCTGAAAGTCGATATTCTGAAACACGAATTAGAATTAGAACTCTTGGCATATGCTAAATAGGGTTGACTGCTTTGGGTAAGGTTTTCCTAGAAGATGACTTTAACAAGATAGGGCTATCTCATAATAGTGTGGTTTGTTTAATAATAGGTAGCATATGGTTTTGTCTTCTCTTTATTCTTAATTTGAAACTAGTCCTTTGACACAGTATTATTTCAATTTGTTGTTTAAATATTTTAGGAATAAATGTGGGTCACTAGCACCTAATTTTTAAAATTATATATTTCTAAAAGAGTGTGGTTGTTATTTTTTGATGATGACTTGGGTATTAAGTGTGTCAGCTGTTTTTACTGGCTCGTAAGTGGTTAAAATTTCTATTCGAACTTTGGTTTTTGATAGAACATTTTTTTCAAAGGTTTTATTGAAGGTGTTATATCAGTACAAGGAGAAGCAATATATGGCTCCTCGAGTTTTACAACAGACATTAAATTATATTAATCAAGGAGTTTCCCATGCCCTCACCTGGAAGAATCTGAAGCCTCATATACAAGTAATAATTTTCTATCTTAAAAAGTTTTTCTAGCCAGTATAATAGAAATAGCATGAAGTGCCATAAAGATTGAAAACTTGCATGTTTTCTTGAGTTGTATTACTTAGTCTTGTTCTGGTGATGGTTTTGAGAGTATAGCAGAAAAAGGAGATATAACACTGACATAACGTTCTAAGAGGTATTTTGTGAATATTCAGCTTATTTTTTAATCTTAAATTGTAATCTTCAAACTTACATTAAAGTTCTTATTATTGGATTGTGATTAGTTAACATTTATCATGTGATTTGGTGTAGGCAAGGGACTTCATTTCACCAGATTAGTTTCCAGAATAATTGACTTATCTGCTATTTCTATAAGTAATTTATTTGCTTTATTTAGACCTGTAGAATTTGATAGGCTAAAATTTTATATTTTCTCATGATACCTGTTTGCTACTTATTAATATGTATATATGTCTTATTTTATAATTACTTGCTATAGAGAGAGGGTAAGAACATGCAGCGTGAAAGTTGATCTGTGAATGCAGTAAATGCATTGCTGAAGTTTGGTATTAAGCTTTAAGATACATATTACAGGGTTATGTGTGTTTTAATAGTTAAAGGAAATCTGAAAGTTTAAATTTGAAAACTGAAGGCTGTTACTTTCTTAACTTTTAAATTGCAGGGCATTATCCAAGATGTTATTTTTCCATTGATGTGCTATACAGATGCTGATGAGGAACTTTGGCAAGAAGACCCTTATGAATACATACGCATGAAGTTTGGTAAGGAAATTTCACTTTTTTAGAAACAAAATATGTCAGTAGTTAAGGTTAGAGTGGTTGTGTATAGCCACCCTAGGGGGTATTATGGCCTTAGCTTTGGTACTGAAAAACCTTCTTTGTTGTTTTAATGTAATTTATCCCTTGTTTAGATTTTTTGGGGACTATTCATTAACTATGGCATTTGAGAATGATAATCTTATTTTTAGCAGACACAAATACAATAGTGTTCTTAAGTTATGATTGTTGAATGTGCTTTTGGCATATGCCAAAAATGTTATATATTCAATAAGTGACTCAGTTATATTTTTGGATCCCATGTCAGTCATCATATGTGTGGGAATTGAGAAGACACGCTGGAAGCTAGAGTCACAAGGAGTCCCTGCAGGGAACTAAAGAACTGTAATTTGTCTAACGTTTTGTATTAGTCTTTCTTCCTACCAGAATCTTCTGTATGTTTTGTAATTTGTATTTCTGTGACCCTATTCTGAGAATTCTCACAGTAGTAGTGTTTGTATGAAAGAAAATTATTAGAGGTATTGGTGGATTAACTGAACGTGTAATTTGTACAGAAAAGACATGGAATTAGGCTTTTGCAAAATTATATGGCGATATGGATTCATTTTCATACCTTATATGATGTTTTGGCACATTTTTTAATGCCTTGTTTTTTAACGAGCATCATTTGTAAACTATGTAATGTGAAAATATTTGGTGAAAAAATTGCTGTTTTCTGTCTTAATTTTAAATTTATTCTCTAGATGTGTTTGAAGATTTCATTTCTCCTACCACTGCTGCCCAGACACTTTTGTTTACAGCCTGTAGTAAGAGGAAAGAGGTAGGTTATTAAACGTATAGATAATTTTTGCTATATTATTTAAAATTTATTCAAATATACACTCAGGGCTGGACGCAGTGGCTCACGCCTGTAATCCTAGCACTCTGGGAGGCCAAGGCGGGAGGATTGCTTGAGCTCAGGAGTTCCAGACTAGCCTGAACAAGAGTAAGATCCCGTCTCCACCAAAAAGAAAGGAAAAAAAAAATCCATCCGGACATTGCAGTGCGCCTGTAGTTCCAGCTACCCAGGAGGCTGAGGCAGAAGGATTGATTCAGCTCAGGAGTTGGAGGCTACAGTGAGCTATAGTGATGCCACTGCACTCTACCCAGGGCAGTAAAGTGAGACTCTGTCTCAACAACAACAAAAAAAACCAAGGCAACTGAGCACCCCTCCTCACACCCCTCCATCCCTTTATATTTAAAAAAAAAAAAAAAAAAGACACATATACACTCAGTTTTAAATGTTAGCAATGTAAGTCGTTTTGTTGGTATTTTTCCTTGTTTGTTTAAGGCAGAGTCTCGTTCTGTCACCCTAGGTAGAGTGCAATGATGTCATTATAGCTCATTACAACCTTAAACTCAGCCTCAAGGGATCCTCCCGTCTCAGCCTCCCGGGTAGCTGCAATACAGGTGCCCACCACCATGCCTTGCTAATTTTTCCTATTTATGGTTGAGACAAGGTCTCGCTCTTGCTCAGGCTGGCCTCCAACTACCGGTCTCAAGCGATCCTCCTGCCTCCACTTCCCAAAGTGTTAGGATTACAGGCACCTGGGCTGTTAGTATGTTTTTTAAGGATTTTGGGATAGCCAATAAAGTAGTACTTTTCTCTTTTAATTTAGGTATTGCAAAAGACTATGGGATTCTGTTATCAGATTCTAACAGAACCAAATGCTGATCCTCGAAAAAAAGATGGAGCCCTGCATATGATTGGCTCTTTAGCCGAAATACTTCTGAAGGTATTTCTTCTTTTGCATATATACGTATATGTGTGAGTGTACAAGTAGTTTTATAAAATTAACAGCTTTATCAAGATCTAATACATAAACCATGCAATTTGCCCATAAAGTTTACAACTCAGTGGTTTTTAGATTATTCACGGAGCTGTACAAGCATCACAGCTCCAAAACATTTTCATGACCCCCAAAAGAAACCCTGTACACGTTAGCATTCACTCCCTGTTTCACCTCAAATCACGCAGCCATAGACTACCTGTAATCTTCATTTGTGTCTATGGATTTGTTTTTGCTGGACGTTGCATATAAATGGAGCAATATATAATATGCGATCTTTCATTTATTGTAATGTTTTCAAGGTTTATCCATGTGATAGTATGTGTCAGTACTTCTTTTTATTGCCAAATTTTATTTCATTGTATTAATATACCACATTTTATTTATCCATTTGTCAGTTGTTTATACTTTTTGCCTATTACGAATAATGGTGCTGTGAACATTCATGTACAAGTTTTCACGTGGACATACGTTTTCACTTCTCTTGCGTGTATACTTAGAAGTCTAAATTGCTGCTCATATTTTGAGAAACCACAACTGTTTTCCAAAGTGGATGCACCATTTTTTATTTACACCAGCACCATTTTATATTTGCACCAGCATTTTATATTCGAGGGTTTCAGTTTCACTGCATCCTCACCAGTACTTGTTATTTTCTTTTTGATTATAGCTATCTTAGTGAACATGAAATAGTATCTCATAGTGGTGTAGGTTTGCATTTTCTTGATGGCTAATGATGAGAATCTTTAAGCTTATTGTCCATTTTGAATATCTGCTTTAGAGAAATGTCTGTTCAAATTGCCCATTTTTAGTTGGGTTGTCTTTTTATTATTGAATTGTTAGAAATATTTATATATTTTAGATGCTAGGACCTTTTCAGATATCTGATTTGCAAGAATTTTCTGTCATTCTTAAGGTTATTTTTTTCACTTTCTTGATGGTATCCTTTTGATAAGATTTTAATATGTCTAATTATTTTCTCTTGCTTCTGCTTATGCTGAAAGTACTTTTATTGTGCGAGTTATCTTTACATGTTGCAAGATATTGTAAAATAGTGTTTTTCTTCTCAGTGTTCATCTTGAAGGCAATTTATAAACATGAATGCTTCCGTTTTTAGTTTAGACACATCATGCTTTTGTCACAAATTTTATAGTAAAGAATGACTGGATTAGATTTTTGTTTAGAAATCTCAAGTGTGTATGTTGTGTTTGACTTAATAAGTAAGATCTGAAATTTGTTTTCACTTTGAAGTAAAGGAAATATTTAGTCATTATACCTTCCCACTACCACAAACCTTGCTTTGTTGAATTGGTCACATTATTTTGTGTGTATATTGTATCTTTTCTTTTTTTTAGGGACAGAGTCACACTCTGTCCCCTGAGCTGGAGTGCCGTGGCATCAGCCTAGCTCACAGCAACCTCAAACTCCTGGGCTCAGGTGATCCTCCTGCCTCAGCCTCCTGAGTAGCTGGGACTATAGGCACCCGCCACCACACCTGGCTAATTTTTCTATTTTTAGTAGAGGTGGGGTCTCACTCTGGCTCAGACTGGCCTTAAACTCCTGAGCTCAAGTGATCCTCCCGCCTCAGCCTCCCAGGGTGCTAGGATTATGGGTGTGAGCCACCAGCCCCAGCCTGTACATTGTATCTTTCAGCTCTTTTTGTTTGTTTTTTTCGTGTGTGTTTTTTTGAGACAGAGCCTTGCTCTGTCACCCAGGCTAGAGTGCTGTGGCGTCAGCCTAGCTCACAGCAACTCACAGCAACCTAAAACTCCTGAGCTCAAGCTATCCTCCTGCCTCAGCCTCCCGCGTAGCTGGTGCTACAGGCACGCACCACCATGCCCAGCTAATTTTTTCTATTTTTAGTCTTGCTTTTGCTCAGTTTGGTCTGGAACTCCTGACTTCAGGTGATCCTTCAGCTTCGGCCTCCCAGGATGCTAGGATTACAGGCATGAGCCACGGTGCCCAGCCTTCTTTCAGCTTTTCTATACCTGTCCAACCATCCTCTTAGGTTACAAAGTATAAATTAAAGACATTCTAATTATTTGTTGTATAGAAGTCTGGGACTCTTAAGTGAGTTCTCATAGTACATTGACATATTTTGTTTATCTATCCTTGTTCTTCACCAAGCTTCCCTTAATGCTAACGTCTTATATAGGCAGGCACAATTATCAAAACCAGGAAATTAATTTTGATATGATATGATCAAGTAATCTATAAACCTTTTTCAAATTTCTCAAGATTTCCCACTAATGTCCTTTTTTTGGTCCATGATCCAGTCCAGGATCCCACATTGCATTTCGTTGTTTTGTCTGTAGTCTTCTCCAGTTTTGTAAGTGTTGATATGTAAATGTTTTGTATTTTTAATGTTGATTTAATGAACACTTCTATAAAGCTTGTTACCACTTAGAAAATACTCAACTTTAAGATTAATGAAAGTGTCTTTTTACTTTTTTTTTCCTGATTCCATTTTGATGGAGAGAGTGTCTTTTTAGATATCCCATCTGTTACTTTGAAAGCAGGATTTTTCTCAAGCTATGTTCAGTTAGAAACTTTATAGAGAGTTTTTATCATTATAAAAGTTTCATGAGAAAAAAAAATTGTATAAGTTAAGGAATAAAATTAACCACTCTTTTAATAATTAAACACCATTGCTGTTAAGATTTGCTATAATGGCTTTCTAATGTAAAAACATGGAAAAATGTATTTGAGTGTGTTTTTTTGGGTAAAGTTATAGAATAAGAAATTTGGTTGTGGATTCTTTGGTTCAAAGAATCAGAATAAATGTGTGTTGTGACATGGTAGTCATTTTTAACACTGGAATATCTATTTTCAAATTGAGATAATGGTATATTTGGACTTGTGTCAAAATTATTGTTGTTTATATTTACAGAAAAAGATCTATAAAGATCAGATGGAATACATGTTGCAGAATCATGTATTCCCTCTCTTCAGCAGTGAACTAGGCTACATGAGAGCAAGGGTATGTTTTAAAGCTGTATTAATTTATATATTTATGTCTTGTAGTGAATGACTTTTAAGTTTTTTTTTTAATTGACAATAATTGTACATATTCATGGGGCACATTGTGATGTTTCTACATATATAGTATATGGTGATTAGATCAGGGTAATTATCCATCGCAAATGATTGGTTCTTTAAATTTTATTTTAATAGATTTAGGGGGGTACAAATGGTTTTTTGTTATGAATGACTATGTGGACTTTTATATTGAAACATTTTAGTGTTCACTTTAAAAGCCATAGTTTATTTTAGACTTCTCTTTAATGTAAATCTTTAAATGGCTGTTATAATGTGTGCATAGTTTCTATCTATGACTGGTAGCAGTGTCTGTCTGTGTTTTGCATTCAGATCTTGCTATCCACACAGACGTCATGCAGCCAAAGAGTAACTTGGGATCATAGTACTGGTCTAGTGTTGTCTCTTATGACACATCTACCACTGGCCAGCCTCCAAATTTCCACACACAGAACACTGGGAATAGAGATGAGCTTGGGGAAATTTAGTGTAATGTATCTAAAGTAACTCACTGCATTTTTAAAAAAGGCTTGCTGGGTACTTCATTATTTTTGTGAAGTGAAGTTCAAAAGTGATCAGAACCTTCAAACAGCCTTGGAGCTTACAAGAAGATGTCTTATTGATGATAGAGAAATGCCTGTGAAAGTGGAAGCTGCTATTGCGCTTCAAGTGTTGATCAGCAATCAAGAAAAAGGTAAATGATCTGTATGTCAAGAACAGTAAATGTCTTCACACATAATTATAAAAGGCACAATCCTAGAAATTGGGTACACTTTGTTTTAATGTGAAAGTACTTCTTTTTTACCCTTTGGTGTATGTTGTATCAGGTTTTAAGAAGTTTTAGCTGTTTTGCCCCAAAATTTTTTACTCCTTTTTTTTCTGTCTTACAGCAAAAGAATACATCACACCATTCATCAGACCTGTAATGCAGGCTCTTCTTCATATTATAAGAGAAACAGAAAATGATGACCTTACCAATGTAATTCAGAAAATGATCTGTGAATATAGTGAAGAAGTTACTCCTATTGCAGTAGAAATGACACAGCATTTGGTATGTTTTTAAGCCTGTCATTTATACGAGTATTGTAATTTAGCTCTTAGTATGTTCCAGGTAGTACGTCAAAGTGGCTCACCTTACTTACCTTATAGTAAATAGTTCACAGACCTTACTGTATAGCAAATACTGTACCTTAGCCCTTGACAGATATTTAACTTATTTAATTCTCACACAATCCTATATCTATTCCTATTTCATACAGAGAAAATGTGAGGTATAAAAAGATTAAATAAATTGCCCAAGGTAGACAAGGTAGGAGTGGGATTCATAACTGGGCCTCTGTAGTGTATGTTCTTAACTACTACCTCTGGCTGTAACGTGACTATCTGTGTAGTTGCCTCGAATACTCAAAACGATTGAACTTTACAAAAGACAGCTCAGCAAACTTGTTGATAATTAAATATACCTATATTTGGGCATTGCCAAATGTTAGTAATATTAATGAAGGTATTCATAATATTAATCGCTTTCTTTGCCTTGCCTCATTTAATCCTCACATGGTCTATGAAATCCTCCATATGACATGTCAGGAAAGGTCAAGAGAGGTCAAATAGCTTGTTGAAGGTTACCCAGTGAGTGGCATAGCAGGCTCATTTGATTACAGAGCTCAAGCTTTTACTTATTATTAATCATTTGGAGACATTGATTTATCATGTTATTCCAATGAGAACATTTTAAAAATCAAAAGTCGTAGACCAAAAAGTGTTTATAATGCTTCAGTGACAAACCCGAGTTGTATTCTCTTGAATCTAGGCAATGACATTTAACCAAGTAATTCAGACCGGGCCAGATGAAGAAGGAAGTGATGACAAAGCAGTTACTGCTATGGGAATTCTGAATACAATTGACACACTTCTTAGTGTAGTTGAAGATCATAAAGAGGTAACAAAATGACCCAGTATTGCACAGTTTTTAGGGAATACCAAACCATTTTACAATGACTGTACTATGCTTTTTGGAGGGCTCTAACTTACATAACTCTCTGGTCATCTTGTGCACCTTGATTTTGCTTTTTTTTTTTAAGAGACTCTCTTCCTAGCCCAGGCTATAGTACGGTGGTAGGATCATTCATAGCTCACTTGGACTCCTGGGCTCAAGTGATCCTCCTTGTCTCAGCCTCTTGAGTGGCTAGGACTACAGTTGCGTACCACCACGCCTGGCTAATTTTTTATAATAATTTCTTTTTTTGTAGAGACAGGTCTTGCCATGTTGCCCAGGCTTGTCTTGAACTCCTGACTTCAAGCGATCTTTGTACCTTGGCCTCCCAAAGTACTGGGATTACAGGCATTAGCCACTGTACCCAGTCCTGAGTTTGCCATTTTAAAATATTTCTCTTTTGTAAGGAATAAGATTAGTACCTTATAAATATTTTACATTCTAAAATAATAGATGGACTAGGAACCAAGTATTTGTTTTATGATCTCTTTATCTTGGGGCTTGGGATTTTGGCTCATTGCTTTGTTGACATTCTCAGATCCTGAAGTATGGTGATTCCCAGGAAGATGTATTCTTCCTAGTTTTCATTTTTTAAAAAATTTATTTAAAAAAATTTGGTGAACCATACATGACAAAATTTACCGTTGTATCCATTTTTAGTGTACAGTTCATTAGTATTAAATACATTCACATTGTGCAACCATCAACTTCCTTATTTTTTTCTTTTCCTGTTGTCTTTTGGAAAAGAATTGTAATTATGGATTTTTAAAAATGAAATTATTTAAAACATACAGAAGAATAAAGAACAAAGAAAGATATAGCCATTACCTCTTTTTTGAAAAATTATTTGTAATTATTGTGGCTACATAATATTTGCATACATTTATAGGGTACATTTATCTAACTAATGATATTTTTACACCCATTAACCACCCCACTTTATCCCCTCTCCCCACTGTCCCCATTACCCTTCCCAGCCTCTGGTAACCATCATTCTGTACTCTGTCTTGATGAGGTCAATTGTTTTTAATATTTAGCTCCTACATGTGAGAACATGCAAGATTTGTCTTTCTTTGTTTGGCTTATTTTACTTAATATAATGTAACCAGTACCTCTTAATCACCACTTAAATTTGTTGACATTTTATCATTTTACAATATTTCCTTTAAATTTTATTTCCTTTAAGAAAAACAATTTTAGGCTTGGCATGGTGGCTCATGCCTGTAATGCTAGCCGAGGCAGGAGGATCATTTGAGGCCAGGAATTCGAGACCTGCCTGAGCAACATAGTGAGACCCTGTCTCTACTGAAAATACAAATATTAGCTGGGTGCAGTGGCGGAGGCTAAGCAGGAGAATTGCTTGAGCCCAAGAGTTTGAGGCTCAGGTAGCTATGATAGTGCTACTGCACTCTAGCCTAGGTGACAGAGCGAGCAAGGCCCTGTCTCAAAAAAAAAAAAGAAAGAAGGAAAATAATTTTAGGTAGATGAAATTAAAGCCCTCAGGGAACCACTCTTCTCCCTGCTTACTCCCTTCCCCTAGAAGTAACCACTGTCATGCATTTGATATTTATAATGCTAATATATCTCTTATCCATAAGCAGTGCATTGTTTTCAGATTATCTGCAAGTTGCCTTTTACAGCAAACTAGTAAATAGTCTTTGTATTTTGTGTTATAATTGGAGATAGGCAGGAGCCATAAGCCATCGAGTAGCTACTTTATTTTTAACAGATGAATTGTTTATTCTGTTTGAGGAATTAAAAATGTAATATGTGCTATGTAGTTGAAATGGATGTCTTGCTTCTATATCTGATTAGTAGATATTATATTCCCCCAACCCTTGATCATTCTTACGGCCCTTAGAGATTTGGGGTCCAGCTGAGGACCATACTGACAGTTATAGAGGAATTTATATTTCCTATCAGTCTTGAAGACTTGGAGCCTGAGTTCATATTCCACAGTTCATTATATCTAATTTGAAAAATGGGGGTAGGTTAAGTATTATTGGGATTACTATTAATAGGAACAATGCCTTCCTTCAGGTAATTTCTCTGTAAGTCACAGTGACTTTTCAGTTACATTTGGACTGAATTAATCTATGTTTACACACCAAAAAAATCTATAGGCTTTCTTCAGAATGGTTGTGACTTTTTTATTTTCATAGTAGTTTGAACTTTTCTGGGTTTTTTTTTTGTTTGTTTCATCTCATGCCTTCAAATGGGATTTTATTTTTTTCCTTTCCTTTTTAGGTAAACTAAGCTGGTTATTCCTTGTGTTTTTTTCATTATAATGGTATTTCATTAAATTTCAATCTCAGACTGGCTCACAATTTGATAATATACAAGTCATTTTAAAACAAAGACTTAAAATGATTCAACAGTATTGACTTTATATTTAAGTGTATTGAATTACAGTGTGCATTATTATAGTAATTCATTAAGTGTGCTGCAATTCCATATTATTTTTTTCTTCTCTTTTAGATAACCCAGCAACTTGAAGGAATCTGCTTACAGGTCATTGGTACTGTTTTACAACAGCATGTGTTAGGTATCATACCTCTTATTGCACTAAGAATTTAGTGCTATTTCACATGAGTAAGCATTTTCCTAATGACTAAGTATTTCTCTTTTAGAATTCTATGAAGAGATCTTCTCTTTAGCACATAGTTTGACATGTCAACAAGTGTCTGCACAGATGTGGCAGCTACTACCCCTTGTATTTGAAGTCTTTCAGCAAGATGGCTTTGATTACTTCACAGGTAAGTCAAATCAGTGTGCATATACTTAGGATTTTACACCGATTGTGATTTATTTGTAGCTTTTCATTTGAGCATACACTTTTGAATGTTCCAACTGCTTCATTGTTTGGGTAGGTTATCAGTAGCAGTTAATGCTCAAAGATGACACATGGCATTGATTTTTGTTATGTATTTTGATTTAGTTATTTTAGGTTCGTTCTTCATTAACACACATACCCATACCCCCTCATAGTCTTCTCCATGTAAATGAATGTGTGTGTGTGTATATATAACCTTTATGTTTAACTATATTTAAATATTCACCTTAATAATAGGTTCGTTTCTCCATTTAATTATAAATGAATATATTTTAATTCCAAGTGAGTGTTAGAAACAAAATGATCTCAAAGATTTGCCTTCTTGTTCTAAGTAAATTTTTCAGAAGCAAAGATAAAGCATTTGTATTAGTAAAGATATGTGACTGATGCTTTTTATTAATACAGATATGATGCCCCTTCTCCATAATTATGTAACAGTTGATACAGACACACTTCTGTCTGATACCAAGTATCTTGAAATGATATACAGTATGTGCAAAAAGGTAGGTTATTTTTATATGAGATTTCATGAAGCTACTGCTATAAAATTTATGAAATTGTAGGCTGGGTGCAGTGGCTCACACCTGTAATCCCAGCACTTTGGGAGGCTAAGGTAGAAAGATTGCTTAAGGCCAGGAGTTTGAGACCAGCCTGGGCAACATAGCAAGACCTTATCTCTACCAAAAAAAAAAAAATTATATGGGTGTGGTGATGCATGCCTGTAGTAAGAACCTGTCGCAAAACAAACTAAAATACTTTTCTTATAACAAGAGGTGGAGGATAAATTTCTCCCTACAGTTTGCTTGGGGAGACATACAATTGATCTGGGGTCCATCAGTATCAAAGTCGATATAATCAGTAGCATTTGAATTTCTACCATTATTTGTTGCAGGCCATTAAAAAATGATTTTGCCCTATGAAGTTTTAGACGTGCTTGTCCTTCATTGGTATCTTCCCTTCTGAATACTTAGTCACACAATAATCATCTAGTTATGTTATTTATCATATACTGCCAATTATATTATTTATATCAATACTCTGGGAACAGATACATATCTATACTTCTATTGTTCTTTTTCAAAACCCTTATCTGTACATTTACAGTCTTAATGCTAACTACCACATCAAGTTCCATGTTCTTCATTTCTTGTCTGGAGTTTATAGGGCAACATTTGCTATCAACAGGCTGCCTCCTCCTCCCCTCCCACCCCCACCCACTATTTTTATTTTATGAGACTGGAGAAAACGTTTTTATGGAAATATCAGCTTCTTAGTTTTTCGTAGTTCTTTACTTAAGAGCCAGATATCTTTGAGAAGGGTTAGCTGTTTTAGCTGCCACCTTTGTATGAGAAGTTAGCCGTTGTCAACATGTCGTAGTCCAGAATGGTACCCACAGTCATTCATATTAATTAGAATACCTTAAGTAATACTCAGAGCTTGTACATAGGAAAAGGAAAATGTTTTTCTGATTTAAAGATTTCATGAAGCCTCACTGCAGCTTACATTGTGTCGATCAGGTTCTTACGGGAGTTGCAGGAGAAGATGCAGAGTGTCATGCAGCGAAATTGTTAGAGGTCATCATTCTACAGTGTAAAGGGCGTGGCATCGACCAGGTCAGTGAGGCTAATGAGGCTAATATTTGAAGCTTCAGAGAGGGAATCTTTTTCTTCCACATTTTTTTCTTTTTTGGGCATTTGTTATATATTCTGTACGTTTTTGTTTATTGTGACACCTAGATAACTTTTTAAGTAGTCAGTTTAAAATTTAACCAACATATAGTAATGATCATGTGTTTCATTTATATGGAAATATGACTGCTAAGTTTTATGGCTACTTTGTTATGCAAGGTAAATTTTGCCTTAAGATTTTTGATAGGGGCCGGGCGCGGTGGCTCACGCCTGTAATCCTAGCACTCTGGGAGGCCGAGGTGGGTGGGTCGCTCAAGGTCAGGAGTTTGAGACCAGCCTGAGCAAGAGCAAGACCCCGTCTCTACCAAAAAATAGAAAGAAATGATCTGGACAACTAAAAAAATATATATATAGAAAAAAATTAGCCGGGCATGGTGGCGCATGCCTGTAGTCCCAGCTACTCGGGAGGCTGAGGCAGAAGGATTGCTTGAGCTCAGGAGTTTGAGGTTGCTGTGAGCTAGGCTGACACCACGGCACTCACTCTAGTCAGGGCAACAAAGCGAGACTCTGTCTCAAAAAAAAAAAAAAAAAAGATTTTGATAGGTTTAGTAATTAAATTTCCATGGTCAATTTTAAAGGGAATATTGTGAAACCATAATTGATGTGCCAAGGCAGTAATAGCTCCATGAAGACTTGACTTTTCACTAAAATTAGATTTCCCAGTTGAACAGTAAATACTGGTCATCTAACGGGATGAAAGGGTTGAGGCAACAAATAAGTTAATATGGGTAGGATAGTTAAAATGCTCTTAATTACAGTCTTGGTGTATCTTGCTATCTTTCTTTACAGTGCATTCCCTTATTTGTTGAAGCAGCTTTAGAAAGACTAACAAGAGAGGTTAAGACAAGTGAACTTCGAACAATGTGTCTGCAGGTTGCGATTGCAGCTTTGTATTATAATCCACACCTACTACTCAATACCTTAGAAAATCTTCGTTTCCCTAATAATGTTGAACCAGTTACAAATCATTTTATTACACAGTGGCTTAATGATGTTGACTGTTTCTTGGGGTAAGTGACATAAATTACAATTTTATTTATTATGTTTGCTTTATGAGAAAATCTGCTTATTTAAGAAAAAGGGAAATTAATATATTTTTTTTAGGCTTCATGACAGAAAGATGTGTGTTCTTGGACTGTGTGCTCTTATTGATATGGAACAGATACCACAAGTTTTAAATCAGGTTTCTGGACAAATTTTGCCAGCTTTTATCCTTTTATTTAATGGATTAAAAAGAGCTTATGCCTGCCATGCAGAACATGAGAATGACAGTGATGATGATGATGAAGCTGAAGATGATGATGAAACAGGTAAGAGATTTTTGATGGAAGAAACCAAAACTTATCTACGTAGAAATATCACTGGACTTACCTTGTCTTCTGGTCCTTCTCCCAAAGAAATGTGTGGTCATGGCCAAACGTTTACATTGTTCACTCATTCATAGAAGGACTTCCTTAGACACTTAACATAATGCTTGGTACATGGCACTCAATAGCAAAGGTACACATGTCTTTATAGTAACTATTACAAGATTTATGGTTTTTAATGTTGGCTAAATTTATCCTATCATCTATTAGTGCTAAAAGCTAAGTATGCAGGTACTGTAAAATTAATTAGATGCTGATATATACATTTTACCTATATATAAGACATTGTAGACTACAAGAATGTAAAAATTTTTGTAATGGTTTCAAAATAAGATAGCTGTTCACATTTTTGTTTTTTATCATTTACTAACTTAGCCAGCCTTTTAAAAAAATCTCACAAAAGATTTTGTGGGTATAACTTTATTATTTACTATCAGTATTTGGTTTGGTATACACCATAAGGCCCAAGAGCATACCAACGGCTGAATTTCATAATATGCAATCCTTCTTTAACCTTCTAATACTACAATTATATTAAATCATGGTTGGATTTCTTAGACTTATGAGAATTTTTATTTCTATTTATTGCTGAACATGTATTTAAACACCAATTCCTGGAATTCTTTCTTGCATTTATTTAGTTGTGATTTGTAATTTACTGACAGTGATTGAGATGATTGTCACTTCATTGAGTAAAAAAATATTTCAGTATTGCAAAAGTACCTATTTTATGACTTGGCAGAGGAACTGGGGAGTGATGAAGATGATATTGATGAAGATGGACAAGAATATTTGGAGATTCTAGCTAAGCAAGCAGGTGAAGATGGAGACGATGAGGACTGGGAAGAAGATGATGCTGAGGAGACTGCTCTGGAAGGCTATTCCACAATCATCGATGATGAAGATAATCCTGTTGATGAGTATCAGATATTTAAAGCTATATTTCAAAGTAAGTCAACTTGTTATATGTAGATGCATTTCATTGAATGAATCTCTTCCAGTTTCTGCACCTTAAAACAAAGGGTTTTGGGAGATATCAAACCTAAACCAGAAAAGGATTGTTAGACAAAGTAACAAATTATTTCTAATGTTGCTGTAGAGTTTCTTTGCTCTTTTTTGTTTTGTTTTGTTTTCCGTGGAGTTTCTGAGTATTCTTTTCTCATCCTATTAATTTTGCATTTAGTTTGTAGTAATGAAAGATGCACATCATAGGAAAATAGTGCAGTTTTAAAAAGTTATACAGTGCAATTCCCTGTTTTCGACTTCGGATTCCAGTCTTCCAGCTTTCCTCAGAAGCAACACTCTTACATGTGTATCTCTTTGTTATATGTTAGTGTATTTGTTTATTTTTTTT